TTATCCAATATAGAGGTAGTGGTAGTAAAGGTGTAAATAAATTATCAGCGCCCTTGTACCCACATACGCGTCCGTGAGGGAGTCAGGTCAGGTCTTTGTCGCTCGCGTAATTATACGCTGAATCCTCTGACGCATCGGTGTGCATGAGCGGTGTTTTGTGCAGCGTCGGCCACCATGCTGGCTGCTGCAACATTGCAACCCTTTCACAGCACCGCCCTCTCTAAACCCCCCTTGCCTGCTCAGCCCCTCTCTAGCGTGTTCAGCCCTACCCCCTTCCCTGGTCAGCCTGTTCTCTGCTTGCTCAGCGCACCCCAAGCCTGGTCAGCGCACCCTCCCCCCCCCCTCCACCTCTCCGAGCACCACTGGGCTCTACTCCAATTTAGAGAGCAGAACACCGGAATACTCACCAACGACAGTTTTGTAGCATCCGCCGATTTAACAACTGATATTTTTTTTCACTTTTTTCCCTGTAGAATTTTCACTCCGATGTAAATTGGGAAGCGTGGAAAGGAAAAAAAATAAAGGTGTATAGTATGTGTTTCTCTCTCTCTCTCTGTCTCTGTCTCTGTCTCTGTCTCTGTCTCTGTCTCTGTCTCTGTCTCTGTCTCTGTCTCTGTCTCTGTCTCTGTCTCTCTCTCTCTCTCTCTCTCTCTCTCTCTCTCTCTCTCTCTCTCTCTCTCTCTCTCTCTCTCTCTCTCTCTCTGTCTCTCTCTCTCTCTCTCTCTCTCTCTCTCTCTCTCTCTCTCTCTCTCTCTCTCTCTCTCTCTCTCTCTCTCTCTCTCTCTCTCTCTCTCTCTCTCTCTCTCTCTCTCTCTCTCTCTCTCTCTCTCTCTCTCTCCCTCCCCCTCTCTCTCTCCCTCCCCCTCTCTCTCAGCTCTGGAGTGTGGAGATAGATAGAGAGAGAGGTGGGAACAGGGAAAGAGAGATAAAATTAGAGGTAAAATAAGAGAGAGAGACAGAAGGACACAGGAGGGTTCAGGTAAATCTGTCCCCCAAACGTTAAAATATTCATAGGATACAGAAACTCCCCCCCCCCCATCTCCCCCCCCCATCAATCCCAAGCTCGATCCCGACAACACGATTGGACGGACAAGAATCGAGTTACGTGTGTCGCCAACTTTTGTTGGAACCATTTCCAGTTATTGTGGACCGCTGGACCACCCGACTCTTGTCCCCGCCATCTCTCTCTCTCTCAACCTCCTATCTTTGTGTGTGTATATCCACACACCTGGCGGCTGAGTGGACAGCGCTCGGGATTCGTAGGTCCGGGGATTGATCCTCGGAGGAAGGCGGAAACAAATGGGCAGTTTCGTTTACTCTGATGTCCCTGTTACCTAGCAGTAAATAGGTACCTGGGAGTTAAGACAGCTGTTACGGGCTGCTTCCTAGGTGTGTGTGTGTGTGTGTGTGTGTGTGTGTGTGTGTGTGTGTGTGTGTGTGTGTGTGTGTGTGTGTGTGTGTGTGTGTGTGTGTGTGTGTGTGTGTGTGTACGAAGTGCAGTTATTGCTGGATGTCGCTGTGGTTATTCTTTTGGCGTTCTCATATTTTTGACCAGAGGCTCTGTTGTCGCTCGAGTATGTTTTGCTGTTGCCTCCGGTGGCCATGGAGTTTTGTAGCGAGCAGAACGGGAAGGGGGGGGGCGATGGGTACAGGAGCGCTGGGTACAGGAGCGCAGGGTACAGCAGCACAGGGTACAGCAGCACAGCATGTATGCCTAGAGTTTCCTGACCGTGGTTTCAGTGTCCATTTAATGTACCAATTTGTACAGATAAGAATATTTCTTGTATATCGTTAGATTGGTTATAATAAAATGTTGCATTTTGTTAGTCTATGGAAAGATATATATATATATATCTTTCCCACTGCCTCTGAGGATGCTAAGATGCATCTTAATGGAACGCCTCAGGGCCCAAAAAGCTCCAATAAAGGTATGAAAAAAATTCTCCTTATAAGATGTCTTAAGAAATATAGAAAACATTGCTGGTAAAATAACTGCTCCCTTTGTCACGCGTACACAGCTGCAGCGTAATAATGCTTTATTTGATCAATAATGATGATCAATGATGAATATTTAATCAGGTAAAATACGGTTGTGTGAGTGATTGGATACCTTGAGGTGCTTCCGGGGCTTAGCGTCCCCGCGGCCCGGTCGTCGACCAGGCCTCCTATGAATGAATGTAAGTGTTGCCAAGTTTGTTGAGAATTGTTCCCCTCATGTTCAGCACGATGGTAAAGCTCAGACTTTACTTCTTTGTTTTCTTGATTGACTTGGGTTCTTGTTTTCGTTGTTTTTTCGTTGTTTTTTCGTTGTTTTCGTTTTCGTTCATATGTTTTATGATCTTCTGTTGGTGATTGTTTGCTTATTTTTTTTTGTTTAGTTGTCTTTTGATCCGTCTGTTGTTTTTGTTCTATAACTCTTATTTGTTCATGTTATATCGCCAGTTATTCCTTGCCTTTGTTCTTCCTGATTTTCGCATTAGTTTCTGTTTTTTGTTATTGTATGTTAGGCTTGTTTACCTGTATGTATCGAGGGTCCTCCCCCCCCCACTCCCCAAGATCCCCCATTCCCCCCCCCCCCCTCGTCTCCCCAGGATTCAACTACAGTGGTTGACGAACTCCTTGATATACCTGTTTACTACTAGGGTGAACAGAGGCATTAGGTGATGGGGGAAACGTGCCCAACCACTTCTGCCTCGCCTGGGATTCCCCCGATTGTGAGTCCGCAGTAGCCCTTGTTAATTGGTTGTGTCCCTTATCACAACAGGGCGCACGCAACAATAGCCTGGCTGATCAGGGGGAACTTTTTCTAAGGCTACGGAATGGGAACAAGTTATCGAAACCGGTCACGCGTTCTTCAGTTTTTTTTTCTGTTTTTGTTCTGCGCTTGTTCTTGATGGCTCTTGTTCACTCGTGAGTTCTGTTAGTGTGTTGTTCTTGTGATCTGTTTCCTTATTCTTACGTTCGTGTTCTTATTTCTGAACGTTCACACGCGCTGTGAATGTTTGTGTCCGTTGGTGGAGGTTCATTGTTAGTGATCTGTGTTCTTTCACTCTTATCAACCTTTCGTTATTTAATTTATTTCAGATATATATTTTTCTATTCGATCCCTTGTCCATATGTCTTTCCCGTCTCTCTCTCTCTCTCTCTCTCTCTCTCTCTCTCTCTCTCTCTCTCTGTCTCTGTCTCTGTCTCTGTCTCTGTCTCTGTCTCTGTCTCTGTCTCTGTCTCTCTCTCTCTCTCTCTCTCTCTCTCTCTCTCTCTCTCTCTCTCTCTCTCTCTCTCTCTCTCTCTCTCTCTCTCTCTCTCTCTCTCTCTCTCTCTCTCTCTCTCTCTCTCTCTTTGTCTCGCTCTTATGCTTCTTCCCCTCTTTCTCTCCTACGTTGTTTCCCCTCCATGTGTTACTCTCTTTGTCCCTTCTCTTTAAATTTTTCTTTCCCTCTTCTCTCTCCCCTCTCTCCCTCTCTCTCTCCCTTTGTATTTCACCCTTTTTCCCCCTCCCTATATCTCATTTCTTTATTTCTCTTACCCGCTCTCCGATCCCTGTACGCACCCTCCTCTTAATCCTTTGTTCTCTCGCTCTCATTCGTTCATATATATATATATATATATATATATATATATATATATATATATATATATATATATATATATATATATATATATATATATATATAATATAATGCATGTGTGTGGGTATATATTCATAATACCGAGTTGGAGAAATTGACTGAATTTGTCATGTAGTTCGAAATAAGACGTTTAATATATATATATATATATATATATATATATATATATATATATATATATATTAATATATATTAATATATAATATATTTTAAGATATGTATATTGTGTGTGTGGTTTTTGTTGTGTCTCTGTGGGTCCAGAGTGGTTGTTGCACTTTGTTAACATTTCGTAATGAAATTTGGTTGATGGTATGTCATGAGCCTAAACGTTGGATGTAAATTGATTTCTTCTGGTGGATTTTGTTTGTTTGTTTGTGCTGAAGCTGTGTTTGTGTGGAGGGGGGGGGGGTGTGTCTATGTCTATGTATCAACAATTGTTGTCTATGTATCAACAATTGTCTTTGTTGATACATAGTCGCCTGTGACTTTAAGTCCTTTGGAGTGTAGTCTGTGATTGGTCTATGCGAAATTACGATTGGGCAGTATGTTTGTTCTGTTCAATGTTCAAATGTTTGTTCTGTTCAATATGTTTGATCTGTACTGGCCGGGCTTGCCTGGATACGCTGGGCAGGGCGCCGCTACTTCATGCACCCAGAATTTTAAAAGTTCAGAGGATTCGTGGATTCGTGCCGGAGTTAAGTAAGGACAAGAGAATGCAGATAGAAGTTGTAAGTGCAGATGAGTCTAAAAAATGTGATGGAGTACTCGTACGAGTGGTTTAACAAGTGGAATACACTGAATGATGCTGCGGAAGCCACCTCCATCCACGACTTCAAGGGCCAGATTCGACAAATAATTCCAACATGAGGATAATTCAATTATATTATATATATTTAACTATATATAATATATGCTTGGAGCCTGCCTGCGGGTTGCTCCAAGCAACAGCCTGTTATAGGCCTCTCACAAGTCAAGCCTGTCTTGACTTGTGAGAGACCTGGTCGACAACCGGGCCGCGGGGCCACTAAGCCCCGAAATCATCTCAAAGTAACCTCAAGATAAGGTAGCCTCGGGTCGGGCTTGGGGAGTAGAAGAACTCCCAGAACCCCATCAAACAGGTATAACACAAGAGGTACAAGAATACTGATAGAGGCAGCCAGGCCGTAGTCAGTAAGAGGCACCTGCTTCACCGCTCCACACATCCGGTAGGTGTGGGCGTGAGGGCGTGACCTTCGTCTCAGGGTCGTGCCACCCATATCTCACCCTATCCGTGATTAGGGGTGTGGTGGTGGTGGTGTGGCGCGGAGAGTGCTGGCTGAGGCTGCTGTGGCTCGGCGCTGTCCCTGGGACTCACGTTGTATACTTTGTTAATTAAATCCGTCTTGCATTATGGAAGAAGCCAGCGGGCCTGCTTAGTGGCGCTCCTCGTGTGGTACCGCCTGATGGTGTAGTCCCTCGTGTGGTACCGCCTGATAGTGTAGTCCCTCGTGTGGTACCGCCTGATGGTGTAGTCCCTCGTGTGGTACCGCCTGATGGTGAAGTCCCTCGTGTGGTACCGCCTGATGGTGTAGTCCCTCGTGTGGTACCGCCTGATGGTGAAGTCCCTCGTGTGGTACCGCCTGATGGTGAAGCTCCTCGTGTGGTACCGCCTGATGGTGTAGTCCCTCGTGTGGTACCGCCTGATGGTGTAGTCCCTCGTGTGGTACCGCCTGATGGTGTAGTCCTCGTGTGGTACCGCCTGATGGTGTAGTCCCTCGTGTGGTACCGCCTGATGGTGAAGTCCCTCGTGTGGTACCGCCTGATGGTGAAGTCCCTCGTGTGGTGCCGCCTGATGGTGAAGTCCCTCGTGTGGTGCCGCCTGATGGTGTAGTCCCTCGTGTGGTGCCGCCTGATGGTGTAGTCCCTCGTGTGGTACCGCCTGATGGTGTAGTCCCTCGTATGGTACCGCCTGATGGTGTAGTCCCTCGTGTGGTACCGCCTGATGGTGTAGTCCCTCGTGTGGTACCGCCTGATGGTGTAGTCCCTCGTGTGGTACCGCCTGATGGTGTAGTCCCTCGTGTGGTACCGCCTGATGGTGTAGTCCCTCGTGTGGTACCGCCTGATGGTGTAGTCCCTCGTGTGGTACCGCCTGATGGTGGAGTCCCTCGTGTGGTACCGCCTGATGGTGTAGTCCCTCGTGTGGTACCGCCTGATGGTGTAGTCCCTCGTGTGGTACCGCCTGATGGTGGAGTCCCTCGTGTGGTACCGCCTGATGGTGTAGTCCCTCGTGTGGTACCGCCTGATGGTGGAGTCCCTCGTGTGGTACCGCCTGATGGTGTAGTCCCTCGTGTGGTACCGCCTGATGGTGTAGTCCCTCGTGTGGTACCGCCTGATGGTGTAGTCCCTCGTGTGGTACCGCCTGATGGTGTAGTCCCTCGTGTGGTACCGCCTGACGGTGAAGTTGTGGCAGCCAGGGGGGAGAGGGGATACAAAACCTTCTTGGCTATAATAGAATCACGTCAGAAGACCTTGGGCTAGATTCACGAAGAAGTTACGCAAACACTTACGAACCTGTACATCTTTTCTGAATCTTTGGCGGCTTTGTTTACAATTATTAAACAGTTAATGAGCTTCGAAGCACCAGGAGGCTGTTTATAACAATAACAACAGTTGATTGGGAAGTTTTCATGCTTGTAAACTGTTTAATAAATGTAACCAAAGCCATCAAAGATTGAGGAAAGATGTACACGTTCGTAAGTATTTGCGTAATTGTTTCGTGAATCTGGCCCCTTGCTTATAAGAGGACAAGAACGTTCAAGTCACAAATGCTAAGCCAAACACGACACTATTAATAAAGGGGTGTTATTGACTGCGTTCAATACAACATCTAAAACATTGAGAATGCTTAAAATTCTTCAAGCTGTATTCCCTAGAGCGCAGGCGAGTTTGAAGTACCTAATAATTTTAACGTGGTAAATATTGCAGGGAGTAGTTCTGGATCTGCATACGGAATTAACTCGTAAGATATCAGAAGGCATGGCAGGATGTACAAAATAGATCCGTTGACAAACAGAGGTGCAATGTGTACGCTGAGAAAGAACTCCCATCTTCAAAAATGTTGTTCTCAACATGTACTCTTTGGAAAGGAGACGAGAAAGGTATCAAATAATATATACATGGAAGATTCTGCAGGGCCAGGTACCAAATATGCTCAGTGCAGTAACATCATACTGGAGGGGAAAGATTTGGAAGGAAATGTGAAATAGAACCAGTGAGTAGTAAAGGTGCCATAGACACAATCAGAGAACTCTGGTCATCAGAGGTCCACGGCTGTTCAATACCCTTCCGGCAAGCTTTATAAATATTGTCAGAACGAAGGTGGCTGTCTTCAAGACGCATTTTGATAAGTTCTCGCAAAAAGTTCCGGACCAACCGGGCTGTAGTGGATGTGTGGGCCTGCAGGCTGGTGCTCCAAGCAACAGCCTATTGGACCAAGTTATCACAAGTCGAAGGCCGGGCTCGGGAAGTAGAAGAACTCCCGGAACCCTCCACAGGTATGCTCCAGGTAAGATGCAAATATGCAATCCCAGGCCTAATACACGCTATCTTAAGCCTAATCTAATCCATATATGTTCTGTACCAGGCCTAGGAATGCCCTCTACAAGGCTTACCTGTACTTGATGGGGTTCTGGGAGTTCTTCTACTCCCCAAGCCCGGCCCGAGGCCAGGCTTGACTTGTGAGAGTTTGGTCCACCAGGCTGTTGCTTGCAGCGGCCCGCAGGCCCACATACCCACCACAGCCCGGTTGGTCCGGCACTCTTTGAAGGAAACAATCTAGTTTCCTCTTGAAGATATCCACGGTTTTTCCGGCAATATTTCTTATGCTCGCTGGTAGGCTGTTGCAGTACATTTTGTACCATGGAGCAAAGCTAAGTACCATCATATTAGGAAGCTGGCAGAACTCTGCCATATGTCTGAGGTACAGATGTGGAGAGGAAAGATGCTCCTGGAAGCTTAGTTTTGATAATGGTTGGCGGCTTCCAGAGAGAGCGAGCGAGCGGTAGTGTACCTTCCTGGTGCTTAGTGGTCGTGTTCGGTAGGGACACAGATTCCCACGTCTCTGAGCACGGTCGGGAATGGCCAAGAATGAAAAAATTTGCTCGGTAACTTGCATTGATTGTCGCAAGGGAACGGAAAAGTCTTAAGTGTGAGTGGGGAACCTGCCTGATAACTCCTCCATTTGGGAGGACGTGAGTGCGAAGATGGCTGCGCTTCCTCGCGTTGTGGCACAGTTCTAGATGTGTTTCTTCTCCTGAGACCATAATATGACCCGCGTGGAGTCTGGTAAATAGACACTTATCGGAACTCCCGCCATAACTGCGCTCCCAACTGCTGCTTTACGCGGGAAAGAAGCCTGAATGATATCGCTACTTTTCTAGTTAGGGCTGAGTATTATACCACAACGAGCAATGCAAACTTTTTTTCTCTCGAGGGTTACGATGTGGGAGTCGTGAGTGGCCTCTCCAGACTCTCTCCAGTCCAGTTTTCGCATCTTCCTCCTTCTATCTTCCACTCTCCTTCATCCTCCTCCCTCCCTTTCCATGTTTCCTTCTCCTGCACTCTCCCCACCATACCCCCAATATCATTGAACCTGCTGGGATTCGTGGAGCAAGCACTAGGACGATTCCGCCAGCAGATGACCCTCCTCCGGCTGCGTCGCCTCCTGGAATCACAAGGGTTTGTATTCCTCATCGTCTCCTAACACACGTGGGAGGTACAGTCGAAGTACAGACGCACTTCGAGTGCCAGTGATTGCTCTTCTGTCACCCCAAGTTTCTTGAAATAGTGTGATTTTGACAACAGGGATTGGAATAGCCAGGTGGCTGAGCTTGACAGTGCGAAAAGACGGTGTTCGCCATGTGAGGGTGTACTCGACACCCCTCCAGTACACCGTGACACCCCTCCAGTACATCTCGGCACCCTCCAGTACACCGTGGCACCCTCCAGTACACCGTGGCACCCTCCAGTACACCGTGGCACCCTCCAGTACACCGTGACACCCTCCAGTACACCGTGGCACCCTCCAGTACACCGTGGCACCCTCCAGTACACCGTGGCACCCTCCAGTACACCGTGACACCGTCCAGTACACCGTGACACCCTCCAGTACACCGTGACACCCTCCAGTACACCGTGACACCCTCCAGTACACCGTGACACCCTCCAGTACACCGTGGCACCCTCCAGTACACCGTGACACCCTCCAGTACACCGTGACACCCTCCAGTACACCGTGGCACCCTCCAGTACACCGTGGCACCCTCCAGTACACCGTGGCACCCTCCAGTACACCGTGGCACCCTCCAGTACACCGTGACACCCTCCAGTACACCGTGACACCCTCCAGTACACCGTGACACCCTCCAGTACACCGTGACACCCTCCAGTACACCGTGGCACCCTCCAGTACACCGTGACACCCTCCAGTACACCGTGACACCCTCCAGTACACCGTGACACCCTCCAGTACACCGTGGCACCCTCCAGTACACCGTGGCACCCTCCAGTACACCGTGACACCCTCCAGTACACCGTGACACCCTCCAGTACACCGTGACACCCTCCAGTAACACCCCACCACCTGACACTTGACCCGGGGTTTATCGTGCGGTTGGATTGAAGGCCGCGGGAATTTGGACTCTGATATGAGTCACTTTTGGGGTCCGTGTGAATAATTCAGTTGTGTTTTTATCACTGTTCAATGTGCTTCATTGTACTCTTAAAGTCTGGTTCACAATGTGTGTTTTAACTACTCAGTGGTTCAGCCTTCCTCTTCCCTTTCTCTCTCCCCCCGAAAAAAGGCTTATGTTTGCAAATGGTTTTCCTGGAGCCTCCACATTCACTGGACGTGGAAAAAACTCGAAATCGACAAGACAATCAAGAGGTAATATCCTTGACTCGTATTTCGCTTGATAAGAGTTCCCATGTTCTCCTGCTGGCGTCGCTCAAGGCACTATTACTCCGTAGTGACCCCGGTGCCTTGTTCTCCCGGTGGTGGTGGTGGTCACTGTAGGGGAATCCGCTCTCTTTGTTCTTCTGTCACACTCACAACCTGATTTTCCTGTTATCAGCACAAGGTCATTTTTTATCTTTAGCGTGTATTTCGATGTTCCTGCCTTGTTTTAATGCCGTGGTGTTTGTTGCTGTGCTGGGAAGGCTGTCATCTCCCCGTAGGAGACTGTCATCTCCCCGTAGGAGGCTGTCATATCCCCGTAGGAGGCTGTCATATCCCCGTAGGAGGCTGTCATCTATCTGGGGACTCCCAGATACTGGAAGCTTGGAGGGTCGGGTAACCGTGGCCCTTCTTGCTGTACTGGAAGGGCTGTACTTCTTGCTGTATTGGAGGGCTAATGAGTTTACCTTTCTTTCTTGAGGTGGGTATGTGGGCCTGCGGGCCGCTCCAAGCAACAAACAGCTTGTTGGACCAAGTCGAGCTTGAGCTCAGGACGGGCTCGGTGAGTAGTCGAACTACCGAAACCCTCTCTCCAGGTATGTTCCAGGTACTGCGGGTGTTTGGAGCACCACTGTATATGACATTTCTGCAAGATGTGGCATTTATAGTAGTGCCAAACAATGCCATGGATATGGCAATACTGTGGCACTCTTGTGTTTGATAAGGTAGTTGTGACACTGGTACGATTGAAGGGTTGATGCCAACAGGAGCACAGTGGCAATTCTGGCCTGAGTGCCAGGCACCTACTTTCTCCTGCGTCACACTCCACACTCATTTAATGGACACTTGACAGACACCAACACATTTGACTAATGTCAAGAATACACCAACACTGCACAGATTAACGTTTATTCATCAAAGTGTATCATCATTAATGCTTTGGAAAGCTGAATGATGGGGGCTTACGACTGATTCCCCCCATTGTGTTTCCAATTACCCTCACCAGTCCTCCCCACCACGTGGGTAGATCCTACGTGGGTCTACCCACTACCCTTCATAACCTCTCCCATCAGGTCTTCCCCCACAGGTCAGGTCAGGAGGTGGCCGGGAGCTAGAACATTATAATACCCGTATCATCCCGTGTTCCAGAGGTTACAGTCCCGCTCCTGTGCCAGGTAAGTCCACTACGGGCTCACCATAGCCCGTGCTACTTGCAACTTTTTGTTCCCAGTAGCTGAATCTATAACAACAATCCATGTTTCAGTGACCTGAAGCGACTACAGTGGTGTGGGGTGTGTGTGGGTAGATGGATCCGAGTGTAGATGTGTGTGAAGGGAGAGGAGGGGGGGGGGGAGTTGTAAGGGGTGTGGATGCGGGTGTGCGCGCGCGTATGTAGGCTGGATTGGTGCCTGGCTGTCACCGGCAGAGACCATTGTGGTTTGAGGAACCCTTTGTGGCGTGGGACGTATTCTGCACACTCCAGCGGTGGGGTGATTCTGCTTGAATTGCAAGTTGCAGCATTTTCGTATATGGGGGTAAAGTATGGCAATGCCGTTCTTGCCAGGCTGACATTCCGTTTTTCTTGTTTTTTTTTTCCCACCTATAACAAGAACTTACAAGATGACTAATCTGATGACTGAAACAAGATTTCCACCTGTGGCTGTCTTCATTATATAAAGACAGTATATGAAGAATATATATATATATATATATATATATATATATATATATATATATATATATATATATATATATATATATATATATATATATATATATGCAATACACAGTATATAATCTCTCTCTCCCTCCCTCCCTCCCTCCCTCCCTCCCTCCCTCCCTCACCCCTCCTCCCACTTCCCCCTCCTGCCTTAGCGTGCCTGTATGTACACTAACACCCCCACCACCTCTAATTCAATGTTTCCTCACCTTCCCTTCCCCTGTTCTGGTGTGTGTGTGTGTGTGTGTGTGTGTGTGTGTGTGTGTGTGTGTGTGTGTGTGTGTTGTGTGTGGTG